TAGAACTTCGAGTTCCTATCCAGCGACAGTTGGCCTACGTAATACTGCAAACGGTTTTAACACAGTTTTTCCTAGATAATCTACTTGTACTCGAAATGATAATCGCATGTTGTGATAATGGAAATGGGAGGAAAAAGGATCCAAAGTGAGTGAAAGCATTTTTATAAAGCAGCTAATATGGTGCCGATTGGCTACTACTGAACAGTTGGTTAGTAATAAAGGGGGTAAGTTTCTAAGGAAACTGTGGTGCTGCGTCGGTGGAAGAATATAAAAACGTAATCTGATATTATCAACTGAGTTGATAACGTAAATTTGGCCACCGTTAAGAGTTTCAACGCTGACGTTTCGAGCTTTAGCCCTTCGTCAGAGCCGACGAATTAGAACAAGAATACCAAATTATCTTAGTAGGTAAACAAGCCGAGCAAAGGATAGCAGGTGGATAAATACCCGGATTTGGTCTCCACTAAGATTTGCCGTGAACTTGTCGGACTGTTTCGGAGCCAACAAAATGAAAGATTTATCTATATTTCATTCGAAATGTAGTTTAATCTTTACTTTTGAGGATACCCACTTCCAATTAACCTAATGGATGTCAATGAAACCGCTTAAAGCCAAACGGAAGAAGTGGAACATCTTCTCATCTGCCTTCAGTGGTACTTACGCAACAGTTGAATTTTGGCATAAAACGGAAAGTGAACAAGTGTAATTGGTAAAATGATTACGATAGCAGCAAATTCTAAACAATCTCACTTTTTAGCCGGGCTTTGCAAACTGTATTTCACTACACATTCTCTGATCGAAAATAATTTTTGAAAAATGACTACCTCATAGACTGGTTAAGTATGACTCTTAAGGAAAACGGCGGAATTGAGCTTCGTACTTTCAAGTGTCAGTAGTCTTGTACTCTAGCGTTAAAACAATTGCCTTAACAGTAAAAAAACCAACGATTTTCAAATGCCCTTCACGTGATTTAGAGATTTTTGTGAAGAAACACATTTTTTTGGGCAATTACCTGAGAAATTTTTCTTCGATAAATGTCATCCTCAACATAATTCGACGAATTTTGTCGAAAAATACCCTCCACTTCCTCTTAAATTGTTTCAACTGTATTCCATCCCCTTTGGCGTGAAAATCTTTAAATGAAGATACCCAGATACTCACTTATCTTTGCTGCGGATATCCTTATTTCATTCTTTCCCTTCGTTTTTGATGAATCAAGTGAGCAGAGACAAGCTCTATGTGACTGATCACCAACACAACCAAGCAACGCGATATCATCTGCCAATGGCCAAAACAGAACAATTTCGTCGCGTTAGTTGACGGCCTAGATAGTATTCGGTGTGCGAGAGTTGTGTCTTTGTTTTTATTACCAAATCAAGGTACAGATTTCAACAGAACTGAAAACTTGGAAAAATTATGTATACTATCTAAACACATAAAACAAGCTGAGAATTAAAACTTCTCGAAAATAACGATTCATGCAGAAAAGTGACTCTTCAGAGCCTTCCAATTTCCGTTTATAAAATTCCCTGACAATCTTAACCAACACTGAGATCTGAGGAACAGTGTTTTCCTAGCATAGGCAAATCATAATATTCTGGTACAAACCCCACCTTAACTTTGTTAAGGAGGCTGGAAAGGGTTTTTAGATGCACGCGCGCGCCCAATCTACACACACCATATCTAAGATGCACGCGTCAGCTGAATGAATCAAAATCAGCACACTGGAAGTTAAATGTTGCTTGAAATTGCGCGAACCGGAAATGAAATCTGCGAAATACATTTGTTTCCAGCTCGAAATTTTGTTCGGTGACCTATCTTGATTTTTTGCATGCACGCACCATTCACGATGGCACTTCAAATATAAAAGTTTCGGGAAAATTATCCAGTAGAATTTTTTGTAAGCCATAAATCGTATTTTCTTTAAATAAATTTAATTCTACTAGATAAATTTTTTCCATACTGTCTGGAAAGTTAAAGAATTTAGGGAACTTTCCAACAAAGAAAAAAAAATGGTAGGTCACCAAATTAGTTTTTCAGATAATTTACAAAAACTAAAATTTAGTGGACATTTTTGTGGACCTTGTGCGTTGCGATGGTAACTGATATGACGTCACAAGTACCCTCAAAGTATAGCCCAGCAATAGAGTTGCAAGGAGACATATAGTTTGCCCGCCCCATTAAATACACATCTTTGTAACCTTCCATCGTTTCACAAACACTGCAACAACGAAAAACCCTTTCGAGCCTCCTTAAAGATAAGCAGACCCTGAGTTTAAAAGAATCAAATACATTTCTCACTGGTCACGGCAAAAAGAAACCAAAATAGCTGATATAGCGAGACAAGAAATTAGAATAATTCCGCGCATGCCTGATGAAGCTTAACGCTCATGTAACTTTCTTATGAAATTCTATCTATAATTATAAATAATAACATGTACTGTCAGTTAGCGTGCTCACGCATTCTGATTGTTCTCGTTATAGATCTAGCTAACACTTGTATAGTATATAAAGTTTCGATTTTGGAGGACAGAGATTACCTTTCCGATGTGTTGATGGAAGGCTCAAAATGTGGTAAAAACATCATTGTTCTTATCACATTTTGACGTCATCTGTGATCTATTGATCTACAGACGCACGGCAACTTGGAATCTATTTGTTAATTAGTTGCCTTTCCGCCTCACCGTTATTAGCTGTGGCAGCTCAAAGCAGCATTGGATGGTAAATTAATTAATATTGACAACTTCACCAGTTTTGAATAAATACTGATGTCGCCACATTCAGCCCGATGATATATCCAACCATAGCGAAGCCAACTAAACGTTAAGCTCAAGAAAAATTTAACCAGGGTCATTGAAACACTGGATCTGCCATGTTTATCATAAAAGGGTTGAGGAGGTTACTCTTTTGAAGATAAGACTTCCAACCAGGAGCACAAGCAAATTCACTGAAGCAAAAAGAAAACTTTTTCCCGATTTTATCGGCGGTGAAACCGACGAAGGTTTTTCTAAAGATATACCCACCTACGTGAGCATGAAGAGCTATTATGGGATGATAAACCATTTTGAAAGCCTAAGTTGATGACAGACTTTTTCGCTGACGTGTGGCCCTCATATAAGATGACGGGACGGTGGGGGGAGGGGTGTAATCATCATTTGACTCTCGTTTCCCCTTATGCACTGCTATTCATGGGGACTAATTTCTCTCTCAAATGTATGAGAACAATTGTTCCACAATTAATCTTTATTTCTTGCAAATTCAAATCAATCGTTACAATTTTTCACAGTCATTGATATAAGGATTATCATATAGATAGGATGCAAATCCCAATGTCAAGATTTATTTATTCAAATTCTGCCAAATTCTGACCTAAAAGCCTCCATGCGCGTCGAAAACTTCACACACTATTCATCGGCGACTGATAAAAAGTGCAAATATATAGTTTAGGTATTATCTGCCATGCGAACATCTACTATTCTGATCAGAACTTGTTTGGAGAAAAAGGCTTTATGAATATGTTTAATCTATTGTGCAAAAAAATATATACATATATTTTTTTTCACAATAGATTAAACACATATTTCATGTATGTATGTGTATTCCAATTGCGACTCTCTGAGCTTTTCCTCAACCGCTAAAGCAATATTGAAACTGCAGCCTCAATGAATGAATTCGGTTTGGATTTATTTTTTTCAGCCGTTTTGTCGTTGATGTCCTGAAAATTTTGCCGAGAATTGAAGCTACCAGACCCGTCAAATAATCTTTCACCGGAATGTTAGTGTAATGATAAAGCCTATCTGCTTTCTCTCTTTTGGTCAAATACGTCCATGAACTCGCACTTGATAATTGCTGGTCGGAAAACAAACTCTCGCACCTCTATGGTTTGAAAATACAACAGCTCGTTTATATATGAACGGGTCAAAGATAAAACTCGTTTAATTGTTGTAAACGAAGTTTAAGCTTTAGCAGGACTGTGCTATGGAAAAGCTTCCCGAAATAAATCAAACAATCCAACTCCTTAAGTGAGTTTGAAATGAAATTGAGAAAACTCATGTTTGAAACTGAGATCGTCTACTTTTTTAGTACAACATTAATATACACGGTATTCTTGAAAAGCAGGTTTGACTTTGACTACAGTTTTTTTTTCGGTTTTTCTAGCTAGCGTAGTTAGTTTAATTAATTCCTTCAAAAAAAAATATTGTAAGTTCTAACCCGATGGAAACACCATGTAAACGTGAGATTTTACTGCTACTACCATTTCAAAGACAAGCACTATTTAAAATAATAATTATAGGTAATGATTTCTAGCGTCGGTTAGAAAACTAACGTAAGTTACTAATGAGAGTAGAATCTGGGACCCAGTCAGTGTCTCATAAACAGGCTCACACCACACCCTAAAAAATGCGAGGCTATACTCATGACTAATTATATCGGACCTATTCCGCCTGTTTCTATGGCGGGCTCCTTGATAACATGGGTTGAAAAATCGCGCTTACTAGGAGTGACGGTCGACAACAAACTGACATGGTCACCATACTTGTCAGAAGTGAAAAAGAGCTTCGCAAGCAAGCTTAACTTGCTGAGAAAATCAAGATCTCTTCCCGAGAGTGTACTGGAAAATTTCTATTTAAGTGTTATGTATTAGTATCATTAACAAGAAGGTGTCGTGTTATGCATTTAGGGGGACAGATAATATTGCTGTACCTAGATTTACATCTGGTTATTTACAGCAATCTATTAGTTATAGAGGGGCAGTCCTCTGGAATGCAATCACATCGAAAAACTCTGATATTGCTTCTGAGCCACGTAGAACTATCAGCTCTAGATTAAGTAAAATTAAAGATTTCACAGAGTTCACTTTTAAAGTAGAATCAGCTTCTACAGTTGATTTTAACAATCAGGATTTTAGATATTTTTTAGGATTTTAAGATATTACAACTGTATTTACATGAGGTTTTAGTATTTGTTAAGAGCCTTAAGCTATTTATTAAGTTTCTTATTAATTTTATTAGATAACTAAACATACGACCCCATAAGCGTTTAGCTTTTATCATTCGTCGTGTATAAATAAAGTTGATGTATCTATGTATGTAGAGAAAATTTAATGCCAACTTTAATTATGTGCAATATTAAATTACCTTCCGATACTAACATGACTTTTTATAATAACCAACTCTACCTAACTGACTCAGTCGGAGGAATTATAGGAATAGTTAATTATGTCAAATTAGTATGACTGACTTTAGCAGCAAATCATCTGTTCCCTGTGGTAAGGGTGAGCTGATTCATCATCTCATAGGATAGAGTAAGAAAACATGAGATCGAGAGATCCACGTGGGCTGGTAGCGTTGAGATATTTAAAGATCATCGATACAGTAAGACAGCCCACGTTCACATAAAAAGTCATACAGCTCACCCACTGTTCTTAAGTCGTGTCGGTTGGTGAGAGCATCCATTACGAAAGTGCCCTCTCGGCTTCTCATCATTTCTAGTCTCAAATCCAGTTTCTCCGCTATACCCTTAACTTTGGAATAGAGAAAACAAACATTCATCTTAATTGTGCGTCGTGGAATATGACTTGTTTATAATTTAACGCCCACTAGACCATCAAGTTATATGAGTGACCTACTTTATGAATTGCTAGTAGGATTATCCTCACGGACCATTGTAATGAAAAAAGAATAACATATCTGCAGTATGGTGTTATTTCTAGTATGGGTCTATGTGATGCACTCAACCTACTTTGGTAGAGTAGTTGTAAAAGTAGAGACACTATTCCAGACTCATTAGTGATAACAGAAGTTTTTCTGCTGTTTCAATATTTCTTATTTAAACGAGAAGACCAAATTTAATAATTTTTTTGGTGATATATAGTTTTTTATGTGTTGTTAAAACGCCTTGCGACTATTGTTTTCCTGATGAACAGAGACAAAGAAGCAATACAAAGTATGAGACTGAAAAAATGTGCAAAGGGGTCCATTACATGATACGGGGTGACTCCACAAGTTTACTGGTTCAATAAAAGTGACTACAAAGGGAATGTGTCTCTCGGCCGGTTACCATTGGGTCGCAGATGGAAGCACCCACGTCTTAAATTGGGTCACCTTAATCCAGGCTGGATTCGAAAAAAGTTGTTATCACCGTGAACGTCGATAGCCTGGGACATACCACAGGCCATTGAATAAATGTATTTCCTTGTAGTGGCTCTTATTTCACGACTATTTCACAAAAGGTTACTTACCTTCCAAAAGTGTTAAAAGATATCTTGGCATCTCCTTGATGAGCATATTCTCAGGTAACCGAGGACCTGAAGAAAAGAAGAATCGCCTTAGGAATAAATACTGACTTTGACTCAATGGCTTCAAACACAAACATAGAATCGTAATAAAGATTCGACCACACGAGTCAAATGATTCGCAACTAAGATTTATGGAATTCATGAGGACCCCCCCCTCCATTATCATTGTTGATTCTTTCATCACGTGTATTGCCTCTCGCTCACGTTTTTTCGATGTGATGCTAAGAACTTTGAACTTCGTTGTTTTTTCGCGACTAACTTTCTCTTTTCAGCTTTGGTTGAGCGAAACGGAATAATTACACCATTTATCATTAACCCAACTGATACTTTTTTTATTAGCTAGTTAGCGAGAAGATCGGTAGCCCAGTTTTCCCGCAGTCATTTTTTTGTAAACATTTCGATTGTCTTTCATGCTCTACAACTGCTTCGAAACAGAAGGCTGCGTGTTTTCAAGGGAACAGAGGAATAGATGATAACTGTCACGGCCACGCCAGGAAAAGAATTTTCCTTTCTATAAATGGTTCCCCTATTCTTAATTCAAAACTTTTAAAAGCAAGTTAGTGCGAAATTAGTTTAACGGAAAGTATTTTCTGTTTTGGTTTATCCTGGGTTACTTCAAAATACCACGTTTGCCTTCCGTACTTCCGTTGTATTTTATTCAAGTAGTTTACGAATCTATATTGCGTAATATAACGTTGTAACTCGATAACTTATATTCAAATTTAGATTCAAATAGTAACAAGAACATTATTCTGCAACTGAACATGACATAAGCAATATCCAAAGATGTCTTGCAAACTTAAAAGTGTTCCTTTTTTATGCAAATTGTTTCCTACTTAAATTTCACGGATTAAAAAGAGTTTGATGTTAAAGGCCTTCTGACTATTTTGTTCACAAGGCATCATGGTTATGATTGCTCAAAAATCAATTGATAAGTATTGAGAAGGATTAAAGGAAATGATATTAAACAACAAACCTGTTGTTCCTGGTGGTGTGATCTCTTTTAAGTAACTAAACACGTCGAATCGTTTTAAATTTTTGGCTTTTCTTGCCAAGACACGGATAGCTCTTTTGTCCTCTCTGGTTGGATTTTTGAAAAAGCCTTGATCTAGCTGTAGAGAGTTTTTCAATTGTTGTATAACAGCTTCAGGACTGCTTGACGATGTCAAAATAGGTTCTACAATGTAACAAAAAAGAAAAAAAGTATTTACGAATACAGAATAATTAACCACGATACTGAAAACAAACTATCTGACAAAAATATGATGGTTGTTTGTGAATTGCTCAAATTAGGGTTTGCTGTTTTAGGTGTTTTAAATCAGTAGACTTATTCCAATAAAAGGCCGACTGATTCTAAGAGGCCTAATGCAAGTTTAAATGAATCAACTGCCAGAAGAGGGATGAATGAAATTTAAAAGGGGCTGTTATAACATAGCGCGCGTGCTTGCCCTATGTAAGTCCTATTGAGCCGCTATGAACAAAATCTTTATTTACGCACGCCCGTGCGTAAATAAGATGACGTGAGCATTTTTTGTTCATTGTCGCTCTGTTATAAAAGAATTTGCTCATGCTTTTAGCTGTGCGTATATCGAGTTATGGATGCACTTGGGAAGTTTGGAGAGCACTCAAAAAGCTAGAGTTACTCTCGGCTGCGCCTCGAGCTACTCTTACGTATTTTTTGTGCTCTCCAAACTTCCCGCGTGCATCTATAACTCGATATACGCACGCTAAGCATGAACAAATTCTTAATTCTGCTATGCCGATACAGTAAGCTTTCAAGTTCTGAAAAAGTGCAAGTCTGAGCCATACCAAATACGAAATAAGAATTTGGTTGTAATCATGTTCATCCGCTGGCTAATTCAGACTGACTGGCCTAAATGGAGATAAAAAAAACCTTCATATTCAAAGTTGACTGGTAAATATTGTAGTTGTTGTTTTGTTTTTTTTCGTTTTTTGACAAAAATACTGTCATTTAAAAATATTATTCTATCATTGTTTCCTTTTATCCTGTGCTAGACAAATTTGGTGGCTGAAATAGTTTTGGCCGCACCTCAAATTTTCGCAGCGGCGCTTGACTTTTTACACAGCCACAAAAATATCAATTAGTCCTTAAGCGTGAAATGTTGATGTGAATTCTTTTACATTATTTGCCACAAGGCGCGAGCAAAATTTTTTTCCGTTCTGTTCGTGCTCTCAGCGGCCTAACACGCTGATTTACGTTCATTTTCTCTTCGAATGATGAGCACTGAAATGTTTCATTCAAATCGGTGTTCAAAACCCAACAACGATAAACGCGTTCACCGATGCTCAAAAATTTATCATTATTTTAGTTATTCCAAAAGGCTTTGGCAGCTGTCTCGCGAGTGAAATTCTCCAGCACTCATCTTTCTCTTTCCACTGTGCAGGATATGAAGGATTACTCAGAACATGAGCAAAGCTGGTTACAACGTCAAATATCTATCTGCACATTGAATCACCACTCCGAGTCCCAAACATATTTCCTCTCTCTGGTGATAGCTTACAACTCTGACAGTCGGCTGCAATCGTAAATGTTCGTCAGAGATCACAACGAAATCCGGCAGACTGAAAAGTACATTTTAGCCATTAGTGAACACCCAAGGGAGCGGCGAAGGCGGCGCTAAAACAAGATTCAGGAACTTAGAGAAGCTGAATACATGTAAATTAATGGGCAAAATGGCTCATTTTCTACTCATTATGTGACACGAATTGCAGGGAGTGCAAATTCCAAGTAAATCCTTTTCCGCTGTTCTTAATAGTTAAGCTTAGTATCTGAATTTACTTTTTAAAGAAACTTTTTTAAGTTACAAGTTCATAAAAAGTTGGACCAGAAACTAGAAATTTAAATTAGAAATTAAACAGTTTTGAATTGTCATATAGAACGGCTACAAAATCATTCACATTTCAACACAAATTTCCAATAGTTTTACAAGCCGTGTCCTTCTCCTGAGCGTCTCGATTAATTAAATGTACTTTCTTCTTTACTTTGCAGCCTACAAGTATTGACTTTTCCAACTGAGACCCATTAAAATTAAAGTTAGGTGTTCGCCCTTTTCTGCCGCCATTTCCTTTAAAATGTGGATTGCCGGCTTTCAAATTTTGCGCTCCATCGCGTTGCTGTTATGCCAATGCACTGCTAATGAAGTATGAATATTAAACATGTCCGGCCATTCTGCGCCATGCCTGTGTTTGTTCAGATCCAAAGGCAAATAAATATACAGCGATACGTACTGTAAAATATCATTCATAAAGAGTGTCCTAATTTGCAAGAGCTTTAGTAATGCCATGATTTTTAGCAGGTTTATTCTAACTCATTCTCATTCATATTCCATATGCGTTATTGACCACTTTAAGGTAAAGATGGCTGGATATTGGCCGATTTTCCTTTCTTTTTTTTTTTTTTTTTTTGTGCGTTTTATGGACCGCAGCCAATGAACGAGACTTATATCCACTCATCTTGACCTTTAACTTGACCTTTCAGCTGAACAATATAACGTATATGGAATGTGGAGGCCACTGAGTAAGAATAAACATGCTAAGGGTCACGCCAATACTGATTAAAAAACAAATTCCAAATGAGGGCGCTTTGACTGTTTGGCCAATAAAGGATTTATTTATTGTATAGCAAAAAGATCTCGCCGACTTCAATGAGAATCAAGAATAAATCGTTTTTTTTTTTTGAGTGCTGGATATTACTTGACAAATTGGAAAAAAAAAACAGCTGATTTAATAGGTTTACACTGTTGATGGGTCAACGTCAAAAACGTTGATTAAAATTAATTAGAAAGCTGACACAAACTCCCAATTTTTTACTAGGGCGGGATTAAAGTGAGAAATCACAAGCGGGTAAATAGACCTGTTATGTCCACTCGGCCAGCCAGGAATCGCTTCATCTTGCCCACGGGCACTGTCAGTTACGTAACACGTAGAATTATCACATGACGGCCTCACGCGCGCAATCCCAAAGAAAACCATAATGAAAGCCGGTCCGGAAAAACCGTCCGGCCCGCTACTCACACGGCTATTTTGTATTTTCCAACAACGCGGTTTAAAATTGTGAACTTCAACTTGAAGTAAAACAAATGAGGAAATGAGTTGCGCTTCTCAGTGAATTATGAGTTTCTTGCTCTGACTCATCGGAAAAAAGTATTTACAGTAAAATCTTGATATCAGTCGTCCAGTTCGCCCTTCTTTTGAACACAAGTACGTCCTTTTTAAGTTGAAACGAAAGTTTTGAAATTTTCAACACTTGGTGGTCATATGATAAAATGCTTACTGTTTAAGTTTGATCAAGCTGAAAGGGTAAATATTTGGCTCTCGGTCAGTTTCGCCCAATGAATCGATGAGTACATAGTATAACCCATAGCCACTCTGTCATAATAAAGTACCATCCCTAAATTAACTAATGGTGACGGTTCTAGAGTCAACCATTCGATTTTTATGAGACTGACCTGCAATCATCCACTCTTTTTCCATCTCTCTCCAGGTTCCTAGAGTCATTCTGATCTTTTCCAATTCTTTCCCTATGCTACGATATTTACGTCCTGGAAAAAATTGAGGATGTAATATTTCTGAGTCTCAAATTCATATCAAACAGAATGGTCTCCAATTCGTGAAACAGTCGTAGTCCACCCTATATTAAAGATCTATTGTCATCAGCTGCTAATTATGCTCTTCTATTCGTCTTTTGTTCGTTCCAAGAGTCAACTTCTTTACGCTTGGGGATCGTGCCTCACTCATACTGCTCCTGTCTTTTGGAACTCACTACCATTATCGATTAGAACCTGTACAAGCCTCGCAGTTTTTATGAACTAACTTTTACCCACAGCCACACATGACCACCAGGCGAAATCCAACAGAAAGAAGAAGCGCTAAATTTCCATTGCACAAGAATATTAAACCAGTATTAAACCCTCATCTAGATAGCCCTTTGTTCGTGTGTATTTTTTTCAAAAGAAAATTTGTATTGTCCGTGATAGTAACAGCTTTAAAAGTCAATCATCTTATCAACTAATTAAAAGTATGATTAATTCGTTGAAAATAATCAATTGATCATATAACCTTCGGACGGGTATGCATCTCTGTATGCTTCCTGAATGCGGTCCCAATTCTCACTGACATCTTTGATTAACCCTTCAACCTGGTCGAGCTTTTCAAGTCTGTCTCCTGAGGATTTATGAACAGAATAAGAAGATGATAAGTTTTGAACTCGGCAAAGAAATCGATAAAGAAATATAAGAAATCTAAGTTTCCAACCACTTCATGGCCAAACTCAACGCAGAGTCTCAGTGGTGGATCTGAGCCCCGGAATTCAAATATCTGAGACTCGATTCCTCATGCGCCACATGCGTCTTTTGTCCTTCGTGTTCGAGTGAGTGTTGGAGGATGTACTTTCATACCTGAGCTACATTTTCTCGAGACAGTCTTTACACCCAACTATCATCAAAGTAAAAAGGCCAGTTCTGTAACGATTCTGGCGTTTTCCCAAGTAACCGACAAGACTATTAACACGAAAGTAAGGTTTCTGACATCAACATTTATGGTTACATTACAATTGACTCGCGTAGCCGAGAGGGAAAGACATTCAATGATAAATACTGAGCGAGAATCGAGCTATATTTCTCGGCAACTCATACCTATTCTGTTAAGAATTATCATTCAGTGGAGACTAACAATCACTTTCACCTTTGTGAAATCCATATTCAGAAGTGGCACTACTCAAAGTCCCAGCTCCGCTATCACTCGGTAGTGTGATTTCGCTGAAGGTCTCTTGAAGATTTTCCAAATATTCTTCTACACGCAGTTTTCTGTCAAATGGTAAAAACTCCCTCTCTGGAAAAGGATCTCTTGTATTGGCTGTGGTGATGTTTCGTTCTTTCAGAAGGTCTGAATCAGAACTTGCCCGTTCTTTTAATCCTCTTTCCTCTTCAAGTTTCATCTCTAAAATTTATAGTCAAAAAAAGCAATATAATGTTGAATGAAGCGGTGGGTTCCACATTATTGGATGATCATCAAGCTCTCGGAAATAAATCATATATATCCGAGTGACAAATAACCCAAAAGGTAAGTGAAACTTTAGAACGAATGTCACCAATGGTCAAACATTTGGTGGCAACAGCTGAAAAGTTAATGTCGCCCATATTTCAAAGTCTCAATGGGAAATAAGTCACAGCATACTTCTTTTGGCTGAATATCGTTTATTTTCGAGAAAATTGATAATAACTGAATTCCACCAAAATGCCGCTTTTGAAGCTCAAAATTTCAGGCGAATCTCGGAGCGTTGCGTCACAAATTGAAAAACTATCTGGACCGATAAAAAGTACCAAATCTTAAAAAACAGCATCAAAATATATTTTGTCGGCAATTTGAGCAATCCTTGACGATTTATTTACACAAGGGAATTGAATTTATCCAACCAACTTCTGACTACATAAAAAATAGGTTAAAAGTAACCCGTTATGTACCTATGTGCCACACAAAATAATTAGCTGAAAATCTGGCTTTTGGAAGGCAAAGTGTAGTTCTTTTCGATCTCCGAAGGTTATTTTGGGGAAATAATTCAGCGTGATTTAATAAATTTTTGTTGGATAAAATGAGGTCTACTGAAATCGACAACTCTTCAAAAAATAGTACATTGGACTGTAAAACATGTGGCTTCGGGAACTTAGGTCAAGTTTTAAATATGCGAAACAGGAGCAAACAATCATCTAACCCCGATCATAATTAAACGTCTCATGATTAAATGAATCTTGGTATTTTTTAAATTATTGTTTAAGGTGGATAAAGCAAAAGATCTGCAAAGGGCATAGTCCATTACTGCAGATGTGTAATAGAGCAAAGTGTATAAAAAAGCTGCATAAAGGTCAAAACCACAACTTTCACTGAAATTTTTTAGCTAGCCGATGTCCCACAGATTTATATTTATACCTCTTCTTCCCGCGACGCTCCGAGATTCGCCTGAAATTTTGAGCTTCAAAAGCGGCATTTTTGCGGAACTCAGTTATTATCGATTTTCCCGAAAACAAAGAGATATTCAGCCAAAGGAAGTTTGTTTCTCTCTAAGGCCTACCTAACTTGAGCATATGAGCCGAATTGATTTTTTGGCTGTTGCCTTTATATTTTGAAAAAGTTCGATTTTGGCCACATTTGCTCTTAAGTTGTCTGAAAATTGCATTTTTGAGCACAACTCAAAGTTACTTTTCGAATGAGTTTTAGAAACAGAAATATCGACTCGTTTGAAGTCAACGATTTTTATATCACAGTGCTCTTTTCGCGGAGGAATTGCGGATGTCACTCGGATAATCAATTCGAGAACCTGTTGCTACGTGAAGAGAAAGAACAACCCGTTGGACATTTTGATCGATTATGAGTAACTACTCTTTCCCAGCTCAATCTGTCGGTCGACCAAACAAACACAAAAAGTGATGTTGCGATTCACAGGTATTTTTTAAACCCACGCGACAGATCAGGCTGAAAAAGACGAAATATACCAAGTGTACAATTTCAATTTCTGCACCATGGATCTTTTCGCAAACCCAAATATCTGGACTTAAAACAATTTATGTCAGCGATAAAGAAATACGTTTGCGAACAAGGAGCGCTTATCAAATAATTTAGAAGTATTGAGATCAATCCTCATCCGGAAAGAGCAAAGGAATTCTAGTTCATGTAAATAAAAACAACCCGTAAACAATAATGATAACGCGTAGTGCATGATGCCTCGGAGGAGACGAAAAAGTAAATGAAAACACCATCTTGCTGAAAACTTACGTGGTAACTTCCCCCAACCCCACTTGGCTAGAGTTTAACCGTATATTTGTCCTTTGTCAACACGCAAATTTGCCTCTTCATTCGCGCCAAAATTAAGTGCAATTTCAATCGAATTGAAAGGTAGAATTAAATCAAGAAACATCAGCTGAAGAATAGAACTGAAGGGTTATGTATGAGCTGGTGCATTTTTAGTCTCGTGACGTGTTTTAATAAATTGCATACGAGGAAGAATATTGGATGGATCGTAGCGCAAGAATTTCAATTTTCAAATCACATCTTCTAGGAGCCGTAATTCGTCCCATTATTAGATACAACGAGAGATCTTTCTAATTCATCTCGCACAAGGAGTCATGAATAATGGCGGAACTATTAAAGGAGTAATTACCTTCTCTTCCTGATATCATCAAATCCAAGATAGCATTTCTGTATTCATCTTCGTCGATGTGCACAGTCAATGTCACTTCACCACCTGCCAGCTGCTTTATTTCCTCAGTAACAAGAAACTCTTGTAAATTTGTCTGTAGTGTTTCGTTTTTATAACTTTCCCATAGTGCGTGAAGAGCGGAACTATTTTCTGCTTGAAGCGCAAATCGGATCGATCCATCACTAATTGCACGCAAACAATTTCCAAATGGGAGAACAGCTTCTTTGAAAGCATTGACAAATGCTTCCATACTGGGACTCCTGCGAAGGACCATCCATGTAGTGACGACCACAGCACCACCAGTAACATTGCGGAAAGTACAGTGAGGTGTCAAAACTGTAAAAAGTGTAAAAATCATAGGGGTTACACCAGGCGCTTATGGAGTCGACCGAAAAAGCGGGGCTAGGCAAAGAAACAAACGTTGGGGGAGAGTTGGCTTAGGAGAGCATTCATTCCTAGACTCATTGCTTTCCCGCTCCTCTGCTTATCTCCAGTCACTGATAGCCTTGCAAAGACTAGATTTGAGTGGATTGTTATTTTCCAAAGTTATACATTACTGAGAGAGACGACAAGGATGCTTATGAATAAAGAGACGTCGAGGGACTATAAACATAAAATATTCTTTTAGATCACAGAAAAAAAATGTTAAAGAAAACTTATGTGTTGTTTCCTATCCTTGCATTTAAATTTTTGGTAAGAGTGACAATGGTGGTCTTAAGTATGCGATAACCACGCAAGGACTCTAGCAGCGTGAGCCTCCTAGACGCATTGTGTAGCGGGTTGTTCTGTCTCAGGTTTCAGACTCCATACAATTTGGCTTTGTCACTCAGGCGCACAAATTGAGACACTCTTACCTCCAATTAACCTTTCTCCAATGTTTATTCCACCAACTAGAACAGATGCGGCCTGAGCTGGAATGTTTAATAAATTGATTATTCACTCAATAATAATCAAGGAGATAAGTAGTGAACATTGATCTATGAAATACTTCTCATTGCAGACTTTTCATGTATCTGGCTTGGATTTTTGATCAGCAGGGCCATCTAATCACTGGTAAATTAATTATTTAACCACTGAGGATGTAGAACAGCACCATCTAATGTCTCACTAAGGTGTCACTGCTGAATCAAACATTAGGTCCATGAATTAAAGGAATAATCGCAAACTCAATAAGTCCTTGATTATTAACTAAATTCCCCTTTATCAATGCCAGAGAAAATGTATAAAGAACAGAATGGAGAATATACAAGTTGATTTTAAGGTGTAAAGGATGAACTGATATGCAGAAAGGTAAAACCTCACTCCTTGCATCTCTTGGAGACTCGTTTCAAGGAATACAAGCAACAAAAAAGCTATTTTCGACTCAACTACTACCGCAATGTTTTTTCATGGGTGAACAGGTTACCAAAGTGTTTTCCAAATTGGCAACGTCCAAGACAGAGTTGTTAACGCGGTTGAAGACAAATTTCAAGCATTTATTTACTCCTTGGAGTCTCATCCCGCGGTAACTAGTAAGTTTTTATATTTATTTGCACGGAGGATGTAAACCTCACATGCAAAAGTCTCCTGAACAGCGTCTCGCCGTTTTTGAAAAGAATACAGAAGAGGGCCTGGGAACGAAATTAATGTTTATTCGCCCGCCATATTGTCTGAACAAATCTTACCAACACTCTATCGATTCCTTCAAGAAGGTGCTAATTGTACCCTCATCGATAAAATCACAAATAACTTAACCAAAGCTGTCCGCACATCTACGTACGCTATGAGCTTAAAATTAAGCAAAAACCTTTGTAAAATCTCAAGAATATCGAGCAGGGAAACACTCGCTTCGCAACTGGTAGCCATTGCATTCTGGCTAGGTGAAAGTGACGACTTACTCGTATTAACAGTATAGTCCAGCATGTCTTCTTCGTCAGCTTCGTTTCTGATTTTAACAGTTCTCAATACATTCTCAAACAATCGGTTGAACTGACATTAAACTGAGGATTGCAAATTAGATCGACGATGTTGGATTTCAAGCGCGAAACGTTTGGTTGAGGAACTTCAAAACTGTTTCGATAAAAAAGGAATTCAGTTGGAAATTATCCCTTACCTTGTGCTTTTAGTTTGTAGTCCTCCCACTCTTTCCTTTTCCTCTCAACATCGTCTTCTTGTTTTCTCTTCTCATCGAAGTCATCCACAAGTTTGCACAAATCTGGTTTTTCGACTTCATTTGCAAAGGTTTTCAGGATACTGAGATTTCCTATTCCCAGATTGTTCTGATTTTCTAGCTCTGTGAACAATGCATTGACGTTTCTGATGTGTCCTTCTCTTTCATGAGCTATGAGATTTTGTCTTCTGCAGATTGAAATAAGTCGTTGCAGTTCATTGGACTCGTCGAGTGCATGACTTATCTTCTCCAGAAACTGTTTGAAGTCTTTTCTCTTAATTTCAAATTCATTCACCATTCGAAGAAGATCCCATTTTCCTATCCCTTCTAGGAGATCCTTCAATACGTCAAGTCGGTCAATTCCTAGAACACTTCTCTCTTGCAGTTTGTCGAGCAACGAATCAACGTCTGTGATCTCGTTTTCCGAGCCACCAGGAATAAAACGTTTGTAAATACGTATCAACCGCTTACGTTCAGAATGCCAACTGATTTCCTTGTCACACTGATGCAATAGCTTTAGGTATCCGACAACAGACATGGCTGTTAGAAAGGAAAAAATCTGATGCGTCTAGCAAATATCAATGATTATTCAGAATCAAGATACGCTTTGCTCGTTAGCATAATTGAACCGATTTTCGCTGCTGCTTTGAAGGTTACGCATGATGCAGGCTTTTGTGTATTGATTTGATAGTCACACAATCTTCGACGAGTTTGTAACATACCTTAAGGCAGGGGCCTAAAGTTGTATCCAATCCTTTGCATCCATTTATATCAAATCCTGAAAATAACATTATAACTTTTTTTTGTCATTTGTTCATTGATAAATTTGTACCTATTCATATTTACTTTCCCAATGACATTGCATCACGTAAAAGATGAACTGCCGCCTTTGTCGTCACATGCAAAGTTAAATCTAAATTGTCATACGAGCATTTGGAAGACAACATGGATAATGTCGAAACACGTTTTGTAAACCTATTTTCCGACATTCGTCCAGTGCTGGCCAAAAGATTATTTAGGCCTACTCTGAGACTTTAAGTCGCCTAAAGTCACCTCAAGTCGCCTTAAGTTTCCTTAGGTTGCTATTGGTTACGCAATGTCATAAGGGTTCCACCCTTCCCAATTGACCCTATCCACTCCACTCCAATCATAGTTTTCTGCAGCTAGAAAAGTAGTTGGAGAGACTGGAAAGGAAGTAGTTTTACATAGAACCTTAGCATTTGGTTCTCAGTATGGTATTGGGGTGTTTTGTCTAACTGAGGCAGGAGAACAACAAATTGGTTGGGTCACTGAAAAGGACCCGTGCAATTTTGGATGCTGTTGGAAAGGCATGCGACTTGCCAAACTTTCATGCCAAAATTGACATTGCAAGTGCCAAAAATATGGGAGACAAGTTTACCAAGATATAAGTTTTTATAATTTGTGGAGCTTTGTGAAATAATTAATACACGTAAATAATCATGTTATTTTTAATCAATTATGTGGAAATTTTATGGATAGTTTCATCAAAATTGTGTCTCTTTTCTTAAATTAAAATTTATGGCACTTTGTGTATATTTATGAGAGGTTTGCGTCATGTTGGGCATATAATCCATGATGTTTTCCTGGCTATTTATTTACTAGCTTTGACTGTATAATTTTACAATAACTGTTGTGGTAATTCTGTCTGAACATTTTTAGCTAAATTGGTTCCCTGGCTATTATTCACTAGTTTTGACTGTATAACTTAACAATAACTGTTGTGGTAATTGTCTGAACATTTTTAGCTAAATTGATTTGAAATCTGGATATTTTAGACTATGGTGACTTATGAGCATGCCAAAGTAACCAAAATGACTGTTGTGTTTATTGCAAGGGATTCTGTGGACATTTTTAAAGTTTATGGAGAGACTGTTGCTAACTTTGCTTTTATCGCTTCAGACAAACAAAATCCCTTTCAGTCGCCTTAAGTCACCTTAAATCGTCTAAAGTAGCAATATTTTTTGTGCCAATTTTGTTAGAGTCGCTGAAGTCACCTTAAATCACCCAAAGTCGCCTAAAGTTACAGTGACTTAAGGTCTCGGAGTAAGCCTCATCACCAGCGACCCCAATCGCTTTAACGCGAACTGTTAGATTTAGCATTTAAGGCCAGTGCTAGCCATAAGATTCTTTCTTTTTTTCATTCTCAGCTGCATTTTAATGGGAGTGTGTCATTTTGAGATGAGAAGCTTCATTGGTTTGTTTTATTTGGCTACTTCTTTGGCAATTGACTCTTTCACATTATTTGAAGTGAAAGGGATCAGTCAATCGAAATCTATCGAACCAACTGTCACGAGGTCAGTGAAAAAGGATGTTTTGTCAACAAAAGCGAAATTACGTTGTTGGCGAGTTAGGACTGCTTTAGATTTCATAAATCAAAACAGCTTCTTCAAAAATTTTCGCTGTTTTATAAACCTTGCACGTTTCTTGCGGGTCATTTTATGATTTTATCATTATTGACCTTTTACTCCCTAACATTGGTGTGGCATTTTCTTCTTTTCATGCCGTTCTCTATACATTTCCTGAGGATCTGACGAGGATAATTTCCTAACCATCATTGGCCTCTTTGGTAAGTGATTGTTTCCTATAATTCTCATGACCTTAATGTTTGATTCAGGGTGATATTGTAAGGAGAAATTAGATGCTAGTCACTCTTAGGGGTCAACAAAGGATTAATAGAGACTGTTGAACAACTGCAGTCGGGGGGCCGCTTAAACAACGGAGGGTTGCTATTCACTGTTGAGTTCAGCAAACAAGCCTCCATTGGTGAAGCAACTGTTCATGAAACTGATGAAAATGTTTTGTATTACGAAGAATTGTTAGAAAAATGGGAAACAAGAACTAAAATATGTAAAAAGTGGAAGCAAATATAGGCAAAAAGAATATTTTAATTTTCCGTTAAGCACCATTTTTGATCGTAGGAAGATCTACAGTTGCCGACATTATCTTCTGCCGGAACCTCAACTGGACCATGCAGATTACAGTGACAACCATAAAGTGTTTTACGATCCTTTAAACAATAAACTGCAACGCAGGCTTCTATTTAGGGCGAGATTTACGTAACCGGCCGTGTTTGATTTGGAGTTAGAGTAGAAGTTAAGGGTAGGAGTAGGAGCAGGGAAAGGTGAAAAGAAGTAATTTCTATTTCCCCACCCCCTCCACTCTCCTTCCTTTTGACCGTTACTCACCCCCTTAGTACAAGTTTCTCTCTCTCCCTAGTCTTCTGCTGCTATAAAAGTCAAACAATGGCAGCTTGCGCTATAATTTCACCGAAAAAATACTGAGCACTGACTTCCCAAAATTACGCCTGCTTTGCAGGCTAGTTAAGCAGCGCACACAAAGTTCTAATTTGGAAACAGCAGATGTCTGTGACAGTTTTCTGTCACTCTAAATAATTCATTCTCATTTATGCCAACAACTTTGAACTTCAAAGACCACTTTTGATGATTTAACAACTGTGAGGTTTTCTTAACCCTACAACTCCTCAGAGTGACTAAGATCTGATTTCTCTTTGTAGCAACACTACTGAATCAATCATGAAGGTCATAAGAATAAAGAAAATGATCAAAACTAAAGAAGTTCAAAATTGCCACACAAATTCTCCTTCCCAGTGTCTTAAAAAAATACAAGGAGCAGTATGGAGAAAGTACATCTTAATGTGAGGGTGCAAAGGGTTAAGACATCAAAGGGTTACTAAACAAACATCCGTAAAATTTTGAGACTTTGCAGTGATACATCTTCCTCAGCTTTCAACACAATTCTGTAGAAGTAGGCCGTTTAAGTATAATTTCACGGCGCAAATCTCTCCAGCAGTGTCATTAGAATTCTGTCACCAAGAGCTAAAGTTATAAAATTCTGTCTTCAGTCATAAAAATGAAATGAGTAAAAGATAAAGATGAATGGAAGAGTTTGTTAAGAACTTTTGCCCAATAAAACATATTTCTCACCCAATCTTTGTCTAGAAGAGATGTCAATTGGGACGTATAAAGATTAATTAATAAAATTCTCAGATTATGAACTGATTGATTTTTAATTACAAGATTCCAAACCCTGATCCCATTCTATGAAGAACCACACCCTTTATTTTGGTACCAACATCCTGCTTAACATGATTTCTACCTGTCATGATTCTTTTGCAATTAGAATGTTTTGAAATATTTTGTGTTATTAAAAATATGATTCTATAAAACTGATTAACATTTATTCTACTCAGGACAGGTTCAAACCCTCATTGGCACAAATTTATCTTTAATTGCTCTTCTTGTTGCTGGACGGTATCCAGTCAAGACGCCCATGGTTCAACTCGCCAACGCCAACTCGCCGATGTATAAAATCAAGTAGAGATCTTGTCTAGAAACCCAAGTTCTTTTTAAAAAATCTGACCAATTGATATGATGAGTCTTTACAGTATTGTTGTCACACAATAACTCGTTCAAGTCTAAAGCTTATTTGATCATTGGCGATGTTCAACTTGCTTTATTCGCCTTTAGATCCCTATAAAATTTGTTGAAAATAAAAATTTTTTACTAAAGATCTTGTCTAGAAAGCCAATTTTTTTTTTAAATCTGACCTATTGACATGGCGAGTCTTTACAGTGTTGTTGCCACTCAATAACTCGTTCGCGTTTGAAGCTTTTATAGTTATTGTCGATGTTTACCTTGCTTTATTCGCCATGAGATCCTTATAAACTTTGTTGGAAGAAAAAAAAATGTTTTTTTACTAAAGATCTTTTACTTTTCTATATGTTTAACTTCTAATAAGTTGTGCTGGATTGAAGACCAACTCGCCAATGTTGCTACTCAATTTTATACGTTGGCGAGTTAACCATCGGCGACTTGACCGTAACAAGGCAACCACATCCTGTCTGGTGGTCACAGTATCATGAAAGCATATACAGGTATAAAGCCCTTACAAAACATTCTTTAATACCATTGTAAAAAGTGCATACACTCATCCCAATAGACAATGAGCAATCTCTCCTTTTAGGCAAAGTCCATTGCAGAAGCCAAGAAAAACGAGGAAAAAAAATGATTTTAGCATGCAGAGTGGAACTCTGGGAGAAAGGCAAACAAATAAAAGTCCTACTTTTGTGCATGTCACTCCAAGAGCTCTGTGCCATGCATCAGGAAATTTGGTTTTTTAACTGCACGAATGACTTTGCTGAAAAGCAGGGACTACCTGCAGTCTATTATCCTAAAAAATGGAAAGAAACTTATTGAAAACCAACATGAAAAAGCAGTTCCATATCTTGAGAATGGACTACACCTAATTAAGAACAAGTTGGGTACCAGTATAAGTTTGTTTCTTGTAGCTACAGCATATTTAACATGGCAAGTTCTTTGGAGGATACCAGGTCAGAAGGTAATCTTCCATTTTTATCTTTCACTTTTACAAGACTGGAATCCAACTCAACAAACAATCTTACAACTTCTTTTTGCAACTTTTCAGCAGCCTGAAATTTAAGAAAAAGGAAGACATAGTACTGTAAGCTCATACATTAAGCATTTGATTCTCTAACCAGCTATTTTGTTTAATTGGATAGAAAGTGGAGTCCTACTTATCACAAATCTTTAAGAGACCCTGTATGGAGAGCAAGGCAAGTTTAGTTACTTTTAGTTGCTATAAAGTTGACTCCAAAGTACAACCTACACTCCCAAACATAAGAAGTTGGGACACTTCTCCCTAAAAACGTTTTAGATATTCCTTTACCCTTCTCCCCTTTTAAATGTTGTTAGTTGCCAATGTCTCTATGCTATCTTGAAGACATTAAGAGGGAGTGCATGTCCCAAGGAATGCACCTGGGAGTGTAGGTCCTTTGCTGTTTGAGGAGGTAGAGTAAGAAGATGTTAAGCATGCTTTTGATAATAAAGAGGCTGTATTATGGAATTGAGGCCTGATAGGAATGATGCTGATGATGATGATGCATTTTTATAGTGCATTCTCCATCATAAGTGCTCAAATATGTTTTAAAACACTTTGCAGGGGAATACAGCCAGACTGCATTGAGTAGTTTACATTGGAGGGAAATTTTTGCTGGTGCCCTCAATATAGGAATATTTCGACACAAGGTCAGACCACAACACTGGGAGAAGATGTGTTTGCTACTCTCTGTGTGAAGTGCATGCATTCTTTTACATCCCCTGCTAACTTAAGTTGATAGAAAATGTACTCTACTGTCCTTATCCAAGAAGACTGGAACATCCAACCATTTTCAGTTGTCAGAGCAAAGGCAGCACTTTCTCCCCAGCTGTTTTTATTAAGACCCTGAGTGTTGGTTCGGTCTGGGGCTCAAACCCTCAACCCTCTGCAGGGAAGTCTAGTGCTCTCCAACCTGAGCCAGCAGGCAACTTCCTATGGGAGTCTGAATATTCTTTGCTATGTTACAATTTTTTTTTAGTTTGAGTACTCAGGAAATTTTGGAGATTGACTCGCTCTCTTTAGCCAAGGATTACATCACATCCTCTTTGACTGCCCAGCATACTTGAGCAATTGCACCTAAATGTTGAAACTCACTTTTAAATTAAATCAAACCACAACAATTTCATTGTCACCTTGTGCAAAGGTCACAAAGTCTTGGATCAGCACCATATTTGATAAGCAGGTTCACCACTGACATGTGACCAGAGTATGCTGCTCTGTGTAGTGATGAAACTTTGCCTGACTTTGTCTGGGCATTCACATCTGCTCCTTGTTCCGGGAGCAACTGAGAGACCTCTGAGAGAAAACAGACATAGCTAAATAACCCATAAATCACATTAATAATTCTTTGCCAAACTCTTATCTGTTTTCAAGGTACAATGACTTTGGTTTGAGTGAACAAAAAATATTGTTGTGATTTCCTTTACAAAAGACACCCAGAACAACCAGAAAGTTTTAAACAGTATAAGTGACCCATGTTTCTCAAACCTTCTTTCATGGAAATGAAGAACACTCCAAAATTTGCTTTGCTTCTGACACTTTGCTTCCTTGCTGAGTTGGCAGAAACAGCCAAGTAGAGCAAGGTACGTAGGTGGCAGTTTCTTCAACCTTTTTCCTGCAATTTCTTTCATTGCAGCTCACCTGTGGGGATCATTTCTAAACTTTTATTTCACAACTAGATTAGGCAGGTGCAGTCGCAGGGGACTGGCAAATAGGTAACATTGTGAGAGCTACATTCATGAGACATCCTCTATGGAGGTGGGGTTGGGATTTGTCAATAACCAACGACCGAAAATAACATGATAATTTTTTAATATTATTATTATGGCGTGGAATCTACTCATCTCTGTACACTGACGACAATTGGATGCTCGTGGGTTTCCCCGAATAGGGAGGAGGGGAGGGGAAGGACATTGAAGCTTAGAATTGATCGGCGCTTTAAGGATACGATTTACCAGAAATTTGTCCAAAAATTTCCTAACACTGTTTACATCACCATCCGGCGCAGCTTGCCATATTCCTCTCTCAAAGTCCATTTCAGAGAGAGACTGAGCATAAGTTGATGATGTTGATAAACAACCACATTTTCCTGCGCGGTTGATATGATTACAGAGATCTTCCATGGTTAAGACCATGAATTAAGACATATTTACGACTGAAATGTTTTAAATCAAATTTAATAACGACTCCGCTGCCTCAAATCAGATCGTATAAGCGTTAAATCACGTTCTTCGTTCGCTCTTGGCCAACTACACAACATGAATCGCCATGTTGTCTTGCCTCCTACGTTATGTACAGTATCATGGATAGTGACTCACAAGATTGCAAAAAAGATTTGTATCACGCAACAGAACTTAGCCCCATGATTTTGATAGTGATATGCTAAAAATCTTCACATAGGAAGATAAACCGTCATTTCTTCCAAATTGTGTTGTGAAATGATAAAGTACGTTTCGAGAGAGTTACTACATGACGCCAAAACGCCGACCGCGTGGGCCCTGGAACTACAACCTCGTTGCCATTTTTCTAGCGCTATCCTGGTCACTTTGCGGATTTTGCAAGTTTTAAAGATAACAGTGTCAAGATATGGAGAGACTTTTGTCTTAAATCGACACCGTAGTCCATATACCCACCAAAACAATCACTATACACGTTCTAGATCTCGCTCAAAATCAAGAAGTCGAACTCAAAGTAGAGAGAGAACCCGAAGCAGAGAGCGCTATTATTCAAACATGTAAGTAATAACTTTACTTAAACTGAATTGATAAAACGTAATCATTTAACTTAGATTAAGGGCGATATACTTAATTGAGTGCTACTCGCATTAAACTAAAGCTGATTGTGAAGTTTATATTCAACCGAATATGATACTTAGCGAACGCAATGCCCTGATTGAATAATGCTTACACATCAAAATTTCGTGAGGAAAATTCGCTTTGAATTGACTCATATTTGCTTAAAATCTTGCCAAAATCTTCTCCTTCTTTCATTCTATCCCACCAACATATATGGTTATATTGGCAATCAAATCAATTTAACGCATTAAATACTTTTAAAACACCAGAAGAAGTAAGATGCGACATGGCGAGAAATGAATCTTAAATTTGTCAGGTCTGTTAGCTGACGCATAGGAAGTTGTACCATATTCAAATCTATTATTCTGCGACTATAGGCATCACAGGAGAAAAAGGAAACCAACACCGGAGAGCTTCATGGATAAGTGGGTTGCATATCTCTGTATTCTCGTATGTCACAAGAATACGTTTCATCAGTCAGTCTGAGTAAGGTATATTTTAAGGAAGATGGTAAATTTTAAGCACTGTAATGAAGTAAGGAAGTATATATCTTTCTCTTATGTCATAAGCATGAAACCCAAGTCCCAATATTGATGTGAAATATTATGGCACACCTTTGGATTCCATGCTCCTCTGAGTTACAGAGAATTGCATACTTCTCTGTAGTTCTGTGGCAATGAATCCAGAAGGCAGGGATTCAATTCCTCATAAGGGACAACACTTATTCTTCTGTTTTACTGAGCTACTGAGAACTGTAGTTTACTATAGATAGAACTTTCTGTTGCTCAGTGATAGAGCATCAGAACATGGATTTCCATGGTCTGGTATTCAGTTTTGTACTGTTCTCATGACTAGATGAATAACAAGATGAAGTAAATTTTTTATATCTTTATACAACAGTGCATCACCAAAATGCCTCATAAACACTCAGTCTGTGGAGTACATGTGTACCAATTGCATATTAACATGTTCCCTGTGGATTCAAGGGTTTTTAAAGTAACACTTAAAAATAACTTGATGGAGGGGAAGATTTGAGCAAATGGAATAACTGACAGATGCTTTGTGGGAAAACCACGCAAATGTAAGGCAAGTCATTTCTCAAGTTGTTCCTTTTAAGGTCATAGTTTGCATCCTCAAGTTACATGCTTTGTACATGCTTCTAGCTTTAACTTTTCTCCCATTCAAAGAAGTTTTAATTTCCCCAATTTCAAGGGGATAAATTGCACACCAAAACGATGCAATAAAATAAGTCACTGTGCTCTTTTAAGAACTAAAGACCATCATACCTCTTTACCCAGTCCATGGATTGAAAAACAATACTGTGTTCTCGAATGCGCATGCACTGATTCCCCTGATTATGTGATTTTTATGCACAGTATGGGATGCACAGTACAAAATTGAGGAATCACCTTAAGGCAATTAATCAATAATTATCTCTTGTACTTCAAAGCTTTACATGTTATTTGTTATTGAGAGTGCTAAGCTACCATGATTTCAAATAGGCTTGTCCAAATTACAATGTCCCCATTCTTTGTACATTTAGAATGTTATGTAACTTAATCTGGCCAGAAAGTGATGGCCAGTAATTTACTGAACCCCAGAAGCATTACTAACAATTTGCTTGTCAACAACCAGAGAAGATATTTTAAGTGATTGCTGCAAGAGTTGTACACAAAACAGTTTCTGTGTGAATCTTTGCTACAATAAATAGATGAAACTCTCTGTATTCTGAAACAAGAGAAAACCTTTTTTTAGAGGCAAATTTATTGGAATAAGCCAATAGGACAGTTGACTAGAAAAAATATATTACAAAGGAGAGTTTTAATTGAAGGAGGGCACTAAATGTCTATCAAACTATGTAATTTAGGTTTTCTAGAATGAAGTAGTTTTTGTATTTTAATAGTTCTGATGATGAGCTTACAAACTTACAAAGATGGCTCTTAAGCTGCAGACAGGATGAAAAAGAGTATGTAAAAAGAACCAGAGATAATTTTTTTTTCTATGATTCCCTTTCACAATTGCAGTGTAACCCTTTGGCTCCTAAGAGTGACCAGCATACAATTTCTCCATAGATTATCACCCCTGAATTAGACATTGAGGTAAAAAGAATAACGAAAATGATCAACAACTAAAGAACCTCTTGATTGTCAGACAAACTCTCCTTGTTAGCACCTTAGGAAATGTATAGAGAGAGAGTATGGAGAATGTGTATACTGATGTTAGGGTGTAAAGGGTGAAATAACATTTACTGAATTAGATTGAAAGATTTTAAGTTAAGGGGCAACACATAACATCCAGTGTGGTCAATTTGAGCTATTAGCAGATTTACCCACAACCTGGCTAGTGGAAGCCCTTAACCCTTTAAGTCCCAAGATCTGATTGTTAATTCTCTCCTCCAGCTGCAACACATCTCCTTGTAAATTAGTTACCAAAATTTGGTGTTGGATGAAGATGACAACTTCCACCTGATTAGTTTGAGTATTCTTATTGCCTGTGTGCAGGTTAATGTTTGGATATTTTAGGGAGAAGTTACATGCTAATCACTTTTGGGAGTTAAAGGGTTAAGTCTATTCACTAATAAATGATGAATAAAGCCATCGTGGACCTCATAAGGCATGCTCTTTGATTGCTGGATGCTGTACATACATTGATTGCTGTAGGCTGGTGTGCATGTTTATGAAGAATTGTTAACATTTTGGAAATATTACTGTGTAGGTGAAAGTGAAAGTGAAGAAGACAGCAATGAGGAGGAGAAAAAAAAGAAACACAAGAAATCTACTAAAAAGAAATCAAGAAAAACTTGCCATAAAAAGAAAAGGTTAGCACTGTGAAGAGAGAAGATTCACTTACCCTAATACATTGCAATGGTATGCACAAGCCCTTCATCACATGCTAAGAACTGGATCAAATGATATTAACCCCTGACACTTAAGAGTGACTAGCATCTAATTTCTTCTACAATATCACTCCTGAATCCAACATTCAGGTCACCAGAGTAAATGATCACCAACTAAAGAAGCTCTTGATTGTAGATTGGTTGATTATAGAAAACAGTATGGAGGATACTCATACTGGGGCTAGGGTGGAGAGGGTTAAATCACTTGTGTCACTCTATACAGTACATTCACTATTGACTGTAGAGTCTTGAGCTACATGTGTTTGTATTGCAAAACTTGACCTTTTGACTGTTGTACATACTAATGAGCTTTTTGCACATGTTTTTTTTAGTGTATTTTGAAAAGTTGCACGCCTTTGTGCACTTTTTGAAATGCGCTTTTCACATGCATTTTGGACCAAGCACCTCTGAGCTGTACTGTACCTTACAATGTCACCCCTGAATCAAACATCGAGGTCACAAGAAAAAAGGAAATGATCACCAACCAAAGATTGTTAAACAAATTCTCCTTGTCAGCATCTTATAAAGAATAGGGAACAGTTTGGAGAATATACATACTGATGATAGGGTGTAAAGGGTTAAGGAACATTCAATTAATTTGTCTTCTTTTCATTATAGACAAAGATAAAGAGGGAGGCAATGGTGTCACTGGGCCTCTTTCACTGAAGCAAGACACAGGAAATCAAGACATTACAGAGTAAGTACAAATATCATCACAATCACAGATAGTGCAACTGATATCATGAACTTATGAATCTTGTCCTGTACAAAACAATTTTATTTTCATTTGTGGTAATTAAACTGAAAGTACTGGTAGATTATGATGTGATATGAGACTGGACCAGTTTATTCAGTAACTGATTAATAGGGACGGACAGAACAAGGACTAACACTCGAAAAGTCAGCTTTCAAACTCTTTACGGTGGCCAATTTACATTACCAACTCAGTTGATAATGCTAAATTACCTTGTTATACTCTCCCATCAATGTAGCACCACCATTTTTTTCACATCTTACCCCCTTTACTAAGTAACTTGTTTGCTGTTATGCAATCAGCAAGAATAGCGGACCCCAGAGAGACAAATGTTCAAAAAGTTTTCAGAAGGCAGCCAATTTGTGTTTGTTTCCACTGGTGAGTACTTGTATCATAATGGGCCAGTTTAAGAAACCTCAAACACTAGAGTTTCAAATGGAACACCAGTGTTTAAAATCAAACACTAGTGTCCAAAGCCAGAAGTTACTGCCCATATTTGTACACTAGTGTCCAAGATTAAAAACTAATGTCCAAAAATTTGACTCTCAAACATTACTGTTCAAGTTGGGACACTAGATCCCCAACCCTCCTCCAGTTACCATCTACCTATTTTTGCAGTCCTGAGAGGGTCTTCAATCAAACCTACAGAACATTACTATATTGACATGTGTTCATTCCACAATTGCACACAGACCAAAATGAATATGAGGCATCTGAGTTACCATGACAATTATCTTCTGTTCATTTGTTTCTTTCCTTTTTCAAAAGCTTTGGAGGAGCTCTGCTACCTGGTGAGGGTGAAGCAATGGCACAATGTGTGAAGGAAAGCAAGCAAATCCCTTGCTGTGGTGACATCAAGCACACAAATGATGAGATTGCTACATTTGAATCTTCTGGTTATGTGATAAGTGGAAGCAGGTGTGACAGCATATCTAAATCATTCAGTAAGAGTATTTTAAAGCCTTATGTGCAAAAGTTATCTCAAAAATCTTGTTACAATTTGGACCAAAGAAGTGGTGCTAAAAGTAACACACTCCACTTTATCCAAAGGAACTCTGGAACAATGGCATTGTGCATGGGTTTTTGCTAATCATGTCACTGCTAACTATTTGTGTTTTCTCTCTGTACATGAAAGTTTATTGTCTTCTTTACATTGCTGCTGATTTGTTTGCAATAGTTTCTTTCAAATTATCCTTTTCAGACTGGTCAATTTGCTGGTCAGCTTCTGCTGTTACTTGATAAGTTCCTGTTAGGCCTTAAATTTATTGAGAATGAATATTGCAGTAAACAAGTTCTTCCTATGTCTTGAGTTCAGTCAAACTACTTGCTTGGTGTTACGGATTACTGAAAAATTTGAAACAAGAAACACCAAAAGTTTACATAACAAACAGCACATACATATATATGTACGAGTTAACGATCAAACAATGGTTTTGGCAACACCTTTCCTACTTACTTTCCTCACACCGGATGTAGTTTCAGCAACACAGTGTATAAAGATGAAGCTTATGGGAGACTTACGCTGGTGGATCTTTCCAGGGAATACCACTTAGAACGAACAGTGTTTAATTCCATTGTAACTGTGAAAAAAACAAAACAAAACAAGACAAAAAACATGGAAGCTTGTTACTCTGTTGCCTATCTAACTGGGTTTTAAAATTATATCATCAGTTACTTGGACAAAGTTGAATGACTTATTATTTGTCTCTTCTTTTAGGCATCGTCACATGGAAGCTGTACGTTTGAGAAAAGAGAAGCAGATTTACAGTGCAGATGAAAAGTGAGTGAATGTGCCTGTAGGTTGTTTTGTGTCCATAGCATCAGTTGGTATTTTTCTTGATTCCAGCCATTCACTGCCTTGTAACCCTTTTACTTCTTGTTTAACAGGTGAGCATTGGCTATGTTTAATTATGAGGAACAATCCAAGACAAAACAAAATCTTTTCAAACCTCAGGGAGATGATTCATCAGAAAATCAACAAAAAGAAATAGTAAATGTCACTCCCGACCAGCTATATTAGCTTCCTCCAGTTTCGACTGTTCTTTCCAGTGTTGCTTGATGATGGACTGGCATACCAAATATTGGACATGCAAGTAGCAGAGAAGGAAGTGAGAGGAAGTCCAACCCATAGACAGCCAAAGCAATGCTTTTGCATCAATCAGAATCAATGCATTCTTCTTTTGTGGTCTCGGTTGATCAGGCGGATAATACTATCCACTGGACTAATCTCTTTCCAGTGGATAGTCCACCACCTTTTTGTAAACACCTACATGTATCTGCTGGATAACAATTTTATCTGTTGGATAGCATTATCCACCCTCTGATGATATTCTAAACACCCCCAAAATTGAAATGGGCAGCGGAAACTTGGTTCCAACTCTCGACAGCTCTTCCAAACAAATCTATGACATTTTCTGGGTAAGAAGCAAATTTCACCAAGTGCAAAAGGGATACTAACAGATAAATACCCTGATGCAAATTTGGAATGGGACAAAGTTTACTATTGTTACGAGTAATTTTGTTGGAAATAAAAGCTTCTAGAAATCTCCAGACTGCGTAGTTATGCTGACATGCGTACCATAGAACTTTCAAGAACATTTCATCAAGCCACGCAGTTATTACTTAATACTACTAAAAAAGTTCTTTTGTAAGCTTCTGGAATGTTCCAGAACACTTTGTGAATGTATATAAGGACTTAGTAGTAGTAGTATAAGTAGTAGTTGTTGCTGTAGGGAGTGATCGACTGTTTAGAAACCTATACCGTGAGAGACAGCAACAGTGGAAGATTGTTAATATCAAGAGACGGAGAGAACTGTGAGTTTGGGTTAGTGGTAGCTAAGATATAGACTGTAGCGGGCTTAAATAAGTTTATCGAGAATAAGTACTGTACTCAGCCTTTACGAGTCGCTCCTTGTTAACAATATTACTTGTTATTTAATAAAGTAGTTGAGTTTGTGGGATTGTTAGGTTAGATTATATGGTAATACTATCTACCATTTCGTTCCTCGATGGATTCAAAGACTAGAGAGTTCCAATAAAAAATGCCTCCTCTGTTAGGAGGCGGCGAAATCCATTGAGCATTTGCTTGTTTCTTGCAAAATATCGTCTAACTTCTGGAAACATGTCTCATCCTGTCTTAAAGAATTAGCTATTTCCTTTAGGTTTGTTTGGACCGAAATTTCCTTTTCTTGAGGAAAGGAGAAAACTTACTTGATAGGTTCAGTCTAGAACTTCGAGTTCCTATCTAGCGACATTTGGCCTACGTAATACTGCAAACGGTTTTAACACAGTTTTTCCTAGATAATCTACTTGTACTCGAAATGATAATCGCATGTTGTGATAATGGAAATGGGAGGAAAAAGGATCCAAAGTGAGTGAAAGCATTTTTATAAAGCAGCTAATATGGTGCCGATTGGCTACTACTGAACAGTTGGTTAGTAATAAAGGGGGTAAGTTTCTAAGGAAACTGTGGTGCTGCGTCGGTGGAAGAATATAAAAACGTAATCTGATATTATCAACTGAGTTGATAACGTAAATTTGGCCACCGTTAAGAGTTTCAACGCTGACGTTTCGAGCTTTAGCCCTTCGTCAGAGCCGACGAATTAGAACAAGAATACCAAATTATCTTAGTAGGTAAACAAGCCGAGCAAAGGATAGCAGGTGGATAAATACCCGGATTTGGTCTCCACTAAGATTTGCCGTGAACTTGTCGGACTGTTTCGGAGCCAACAAAATGAAAGATTTATCTATATTTCATTCGAAATGTAGTTTAATCTTTACTTTTGAGGATACCCACTTCCAATTAACTTAATGGATGTCAATGAAACCGCTTAAAGCCAAACGGAAGAAGTGGAACATCTTCTCATCTGCCTTCAGTGGTACTTACGCAACAGTTGAATTTTGGCATAAAACGGAAAGTGAACAAGTGTAATTGGTAAAATGATTACGATAGCAGCAAATTCTAAACAATCTCACTTTTTAGCCGGGCTTTGCAAACTGTATTTCACTACACATTCTCTGATCGAAAATAATTTTTGAAAAATGACTACCTCATAGACTGGTTAAGTATGACTCTTAAGGCAAACGGCGGAATTGAGCTTCGTACTTTCAAGTGTCAGTAGTCTTGTACTCTAACGTTAAAACAATTGCCTTAACAGTAAAAAAACCAACGATTTTCAAATGCCCTTCACGTGATTTAGAGATTTTTGTGAAGAAACACATTTTTTTGGGCAATTACCTGAGAAATTTTTCTTCGATAAATGTCATCCTCAACATAATTCGACGAATTTTGTCGAAAAATACCCTCCACTTCCTCTTAACTTGTTTCAACTGTATTCCATCCCCTTTGGCGTGAAAATCTTTAAATGAAGATACCCAGATACTCACTTATCTTTGCTGCGGATATCCTTATTTCATTCTTTCCCTTCGTTTTTGATGAATCAAGTGAGCAGAGACAAGCTCTATGTGACTGATCACCAACACAACCAAGCAACGCGATATCATCTGCCAATGGCCAAAACAGAACAATTTCGTCGCGTTAGTTGACGGCCTAGATAGTATTCGGTGTGCGAGAGTTGTGTCTTTGTTTTTTTATTACCAAATCAAGGCACAGATTTCAACAGAACTGAAAACTTGGAAAAATTATGTATACTATCTAAACACATAAAACAAGCTGAGAATTAAAACTTCTCGAAAATAACGATTCATGCAGAAAAGTGACTCTTCAGAGCCTTCCAATTTCCGCTTATAAAATCCCCTGACAATCTTAACCAACGAACTGGAGATCTGAGGAACAGTGTTTTCCTAGCATAGGCAAATCATAATATTCTGGTACAAACCCCACCTTAACTTTGTTAAGGAGGCTGGAAAGGGTTTTTAGATGCACGCGCGCGCGCAATCTACACGCACCACAACTAAGATGCACGCGTCAGCTGAATGAATCAAAATCAGCACACTGGAAGTTAAATGTTGCTTGAAATTGCGCGAACCGGAAATGAAATCTGCGAAATACATTTGTTTCCAGCTCGAAATTTTGTTCGGTGACCTATCTTGATTTTTTGCATGCACGCACCATTCACGATGGCACTTCAAATATAAAAGTTTCGGGAAAAATTATCCAGTAGAATTTTTTGTAAGCCATAAATCGTATTTTCTTTAAATAAATTTAATTCTACTAGATAAATTTTTTCCATACTGTCTGGAAAGTTAAAGAATTTAGGGAACTTTCCAACAAAGAAAAAAATGGTAGGTCACCAAATTAGTTTTTCAGATAATTTACAAAAACTAAAATTTAGTGGACATTTTTGTGGACCTTGTGCGTTGCGATGGTAACTGATATGACGTCACAAGTACCCTCAAAGTATAGCCCAGCAATAGAGTTGCAAGGAGACATATAGTTTGCCCGCCCCATTAAATATACATCTTTGTAACCTGCCATCGTTTCACAAACACTGCAACAACGAAAAACCCTTTCGAGCCTCCTTAAAGATAAGCAGACCCTGAGTTTAAAAGAATCAAATACATTTCTCACTGGTCACGGCAAAAAGAAACCAAAATAGCTGATATAACGAGACAAGAAATTAGAATAATTCCGCGCATGCCTGATGAAGCTTAACGCTCATGTAACTTTGTTATGAAATTCTATCTATCATTATATAATGAGCTCAGTTATGCACGCATTCTGATTGGTTCTCACTTATGATCTATTGGAGGACAGACGTATAGATGACGTCATCATTATACCTTTTTTCCGTATATTTTAATTCTCTATTATATAAAACAAATAGATTCCAAGTTGCCGTGCGTCTGTTCAGTAATAGATCACAGAGGACGTCAAAATGTGGTAAAAACATCATTGTTCTTACCACATTTTGACGTCATCTGTGATCTATTGATCTACAGACGCACGGCAACTTGGAATCTATTTGTTAATTAGTTGCCTTTCCGCCTCACCGTTATTAGCTGTGGCAGCTCAAAGCAGCATTGGATGGTAAATTAATTAATATTGACAACTTCACCAGTTTTGAATAAATACTGATGTCGCCACATTCAGCCCGATGATATATCCAACCATAGCGAAGCCAGGGTCATTGAAACACTGGATCTGCCATGTTTATCATAAAAGAGTTGAGGAGGTTATTCTTTTGAAGATAAGACTTCCAACCAGGAGCACAAGCAAATTCATTGAAGCAAAAAGAAAACTTTTTCCCGATTTTATCGGCGGTGAAACCGACGAAGGTTTTTCTAAAGATATACCCACCTACGTGAGCATGAAGAGCTATTATGGGATGATAAACCATTTTGAAAGCCTAAGTTGATGACAGACTTTTTCGCTGACGTGTGGCCCTCATATAAGATGACGGGACGGTGGGGGGAGGGGTGTAATCATCATTTGACTCTCGTTTCCCCTTATGCGCTGCTATTCGTGGGGACTAATTTCTCTCTCAAATGCATGAGAACAATTGTTCCACAATTAATCTTTATTTCTTGCAAATTCAAATCAATCGTTACAATTTTTTCACAGTCATTGATATAAGGATTATCATATAGATAGGATGCAAATCCCAATGTCAAGATTTATTTATTCAAATTCTGCCAAATTCTGACCTAAAAGCCTCCATGCGCGTCGAAAACTTCACACACTATTCATCGGCGACTGATAAAAAGTGCAAATATATAGTTTAGGTATTATCTGCCATGAGAACATCTATTATTCTGATCAGAACTTGTTTGGCGAAAAAGGCTTTATGAAATATGTTTAATCTATTGTGGAAAAAAAATATATACATATATTTTTTTTTTCACAATAGATTAAACACATATTTCATATATGTATGTATATTCCAATTGCGACTCTCTGAGCTTTTCCTCAACCGCTCAAACAATATTGAAACCAACTGCAGCCTTAATAAATGAATTCGGTTTGGATTTATTTTTTTCAGCCGTTTTGTCGTTGATGTCCTGAAAATTTTGCCGAGAATTGAAGCTACCAGACCCGTCAAATAATCTTTCACCGGAATGTTAGTGTAATGATAAAGCCTATCTGCTTTCTCTCTTTTGGTCAAATACGTCCATGAACTCGCACTTGATAATTGCTGGTCGGAAAACAAACTCTCGCACCTCTATGGTTTGAAAATACAACAGCTCGTTTATATATGAACGGGTCAAAGATAAAACTCGTTTAATTGTTGTAAACGAAGTTTAAGCTTTAGCAGGACTGTGCTATGGAAAAGCTTCCCGAAATAAATCAAACAGTCCAACTCCTTAAGTGAGTTTGAAATGAAATTGAGAAAACTCATGTTTGAAACTGAGATCGTCTACTTTTTTAGTACAACATTAATATACACGGTATTCTTGAAAAGCAGGTTTGACTTTGACTACAGTTTTTTTTTTTCGGTTTTTCTAGCTAGCGTAGTTAGTTTAATTAATTCCTTCAAAAAAAATTGTAAGTTCTAACCCGATGGAAACACCATGTAAACGTGAGATTTTACTGCTACTACCATTTCAAAGACAAGCACTATTTAAAATACTAATTATAGGTAATGATTTCTAGCGTCGATTAGAAAACTAACGTAAGTTACTAATGAGAGTAGAATTTGGGACCCAGTCAGTGTCTCATGAACAGGCTCACACCACACTCTAAATAATGCGAGGCTATACTCATGAATAATTATATCGGACCTATTCCGCCTGTTTCTATGGCGGGCTCCTTGATAACATGGATTGAAAAATCGCGCTTACTAGGAGTGACGGTCGACAACAAACTGACATGGTCACCATACTTGTCAGAAGTGAAAAAGAGCTTCGCAAGCAAGCTTAACTTGCTGAGAAAATCAAGATCTCTTCCCGAGAGTGTACTGGAAAATTTCTATTTAAGTGTTATGTATTAGTATCATTAACAAGAGGGTGTCGTGTTATGCATTTAGGGGAACAGATAGTATTGTTGTACCTAGATTTACATCTGGTTATTTACAGCAATCTATTAGTTACAGGGGGGCAGTCCTCTGGAATGCAATCACATCGAAAAACTCTGATATTGCTTCTGAGCCACGTAGAACTATCAGCTCTAGATTAAGTAAAATTAAAGATTTCACAGAGTTCACTTTTAAAGTAGAATCAGCTTCTACAGTTGATTTTAACAATCAGGATTTTAGATATTTTTTAGGATTTTAAGATATTACAACTGTATTTACATGAGGTTTTAGTATTTGTTAAGAGCCTTAAGCTATTTATTAAGTTTCTTATTAATTTTATTAGATAACTAAACATACGACCCCATAAGCGTTTAGCTTTTATCATTCGTCGTGTATAAATAAAGTTGATGTATCTATGTATGTAGAGAAAATTTAATGCCAACTTTAATTATGTGCAATATTAAATTACCTTCCGATACTAACATAACTTTTTATAATAACCAACTCTACCTAACTGACTCAGTCGGAGGAATTATAGGAATAGTTAATTATGTCAAATTAGTATGACTGACTTTAGCAGCAAATCATCTGTTCCCTGTGGTGAGGGTGAGCTGATTCATCATCTCATAGGATAGAGTAAGAAAACATGAGATCGACAGATCCACGTGGGCTGGTAGCGTTGAGATATTTAAAGAAAATAGGCAACGTAAGGCAGCTCACTTTCACATAAAAAGTCATACAGCTCACCCACTGTTCTTAAGTCGTGTCGGTTGGTGAGAGCATCCATTACGGAAGTGCCCTCTCGGCGTCTCATCATTTCTGGTCTCAAACCCAGTTTCTCCGCTCCACCCAAAACTTTGGAATAGAGAAAACAAACATTCATCTTAATTGTGCGTCGTGGAATATGACTTGTTTATAATTTAACGCCCACTAGACCATCAAGTTATATGAGTGACCTACTTTATGAATTGCTAGTAGGATTATCCTCATGGACCATTGTAATGAAAAAAGAATAACATATCTGCAGTATGGTGTTATTTCTAGTACGGGTCTATGTGATGCACTCAACCTACTTTGGTAGAGTAGTTGTAAAAGTAGAGACACTATTCCAGACTCATTAGTGATAACAGAAGTTTTTCTGCTGTTTCAATATTTCTTATTTAAACGAGAAGACCAAATTTAATAATTTTTTTGGTGATATATAGTTTTTTATGTGTTGTTAAAACGCCTTGCGACTATTGTTTTCCTGATGAACAGAGACAAAGAAGCAATACAAAGTATGAGACTGAAAAAATGTGCAAAGGGGTCCATTACATGATACGGGGTGACTCCACAAGTTTACTGGTTCAATAAAAGTGACTACAAAGGGAATGTGTCTCTCGGCCGGTTACCATTAGGTCGCAGATGGAAGCACCCACGTCTTAAATTGGGTCACCTTAATCCAGGCTGGATTCGAAAAAAGTTGTTATCACCGTGAACGTCGATAGCCTGGGACATACCACAGGCCATTGAATAAATGTATTTCCTTGTAGTGGCTCTTATTTCACGACTATTTCACAAAAGGTTACTTACGATTCAAAAGTTTTGAAAGAAATTATATTTTATCTCTTGGCATCTCCTTGATGAGCATATTCTCAGGTAACTGAGGACCTGAAGAAAAGAAGAATCGCCTTAGGAATAAATACTGACTTTGACTCAATGGCTTCAAACACAAACATAGAATCGTAATAAAGATTCGACCACACGAGTCAAATGATTCGCAACTAAGATTTATGGAATTTATGAGGACCCCCCCCTCCATTATCATTGTTGATTCTTTCATCACGTGTATTGCCTCTCGCTCGCGTTTTTTCGCTGTGTTGATAAGAACTTTGAACTTCGTTGTTTTTTCGCGACTAACTTTCTCTTTTCAGCTTTGGTTGAGCGAAACGGAATAATTGCACCATTTATCATTAACCCAACTGATACTTTTTTCTTTGCTAGTTGGCGAGAAGATCGGTAGCCCAGTTTTCCCGCAGTCATTTTTTTGTAAACATTTCGATTGTCTTTCATGCTCTACAACTGCTTCGAAACAGAAGGCTGCGTGTTTTCAAGGGAACAGAGGAATAGATGATAACTGTCACGGCCACGCCAGGAAAAGAATTTTCCTTTCTATAAATGGTTCCCCTATTCTTAATTCAAAACTTTTAAAAGCAAGTTAGTGCGAAATTAGTTTAACGGAAAGTATTTTCTGTTTTGGTTTATCCTGGGTTGCTTCAAAATACCACGTTTGCCTTCTGTACTTCCGTTGTATTTTATTCAAGTAGTTTACGAATCTATATTGCGTAATATAACGTTGTAACTCGATAACTTATATTCAAATTTAGATTCAAATAGTAACAAGAACATTATTCTGCAACTGAACATGACATAAGCAATATCCAAAGATGTCTTGCAAACTTAAAAGTGTTCCTTTTTTATGCAAATTGTTTCCTACTTAAATTTCACGGATTAAAAAGAGTTTGATGTTAAAGGCCTTCTGACTATTTTGTTCACAAGGCATCATGGTTATGATTGCTCAAAAATCAATTGATAAGTATTGAGAAGGATTAAAGGAAATGATATTAAACAACAAACCTGTTGTTCCTGGTGGTGTGATCTCTTTTAAGTAACTAAACACGTCGAATCGTTTTAAATTTTTGGCTTTTCTTGCCAAGACACGGATAGCTCTTTTGTCCTCTCTGGTTGGATTTTTGAAAAAGCCTTGATCTAGCTGTAGAGAGTTTTTCAATTGTTGTATAACAGCTTCAGGACTGCTTGACGATGTCAAAATAGGTTCTACAATGTAACAAAAAAGAAAAAAAGTATTTACGAATACAGAATAATTAACCACGATACTGAAAACAAACTATCTGACAAAAATATGATGGTTGTTTGTGACTTGCCCAAATTAGGGTTTGCTGTTTTAGGTGTTTTAAATCAGTAGACTTATTCCAATAAAAGGCCGACTGATTCTAAGAGGCCTAATGCAAGTTTAAATGAATCAACTGCCAGAAGAGGGATGAATGAAATTTAAAAGGGGCTGTTATAACATAGCGCGCGTGCTTTCCCTCTCTAAGTCCTATTGAGCCGCTGTGAACAAAATCTTTCTTTACGCACGCCCGTGCGTAAATAAGATGACGTGAGCATTTTTTGTTCATTGTCGCTCTGTTATAAAAGAATTTGCTCATGCTTTTAGCTGTGCGTATATCGAGTTATGGATGCACTTGGGAAGTTTGGAGAGCACTCAATAAGCTAGGGTTGCTCTCGGCTGCGCCTCGAGTTACTCTTACGTATTTTTTGTGCTCTCCAAACTTCCCGCGTGCATCTATAACTCGATATACGCACGCTAAGCATGAACAAATTCTTAATTCTGCTATGCCGATACAGTAAGCTTTCAAGTTCTGAAAAAGTGCAAGTCTGAGCCATACCAAATACGAAATAAGAATTTGGTTGTAATCATGTTCATCCGCTGACTAATTCAGACTGACTGGCCGAAATGGAGATTAAAAAAAACTTCATATTCAAAGTTGACTGGTAAATATTGTAGTTGTTGTTTTTTTTTTTCGTTTTTTTGACAAAAATACTGTCATTTAAAAATATTATTCTATCATTGTTTCCTTTTATCCTGTGCTAGACAAATTTGGTGGCTGAAATAGTTTTGGCCGCACCTCAAATTTTCGCAGCGGCGCTTGACTTTTTACACAGCCACAAAAATATCAATTAGTCCTTAAGCGTGAAATGTTGATGTGAATTCTTTTACATTATTTGCCACAAGGCGCGAGCAAAATTTTTTTCCGTTCTGTTCGTGCTCTCAGCGGCCTAACACGCTGATTTACGTTCATTTTCTCTTCGAATGATGAGCACTGAAATGTTTCATTCAAATCGATGTTTAAAACCCAACAACGATAAACGCGTTCACCGATGCTCAAAAATTTATCATTATTTTAGTTATTCCAAAAGGATTTGGCAGCTGTCTCATGAGTGAAATTCTCCAGCACTCATCTTTCTCTTTCCACTGTGCAGGATTTGAAAGATTACTCAGAACATGAGCAAAGCTGGTTACAACGTCAAATATCTATCTGCACATTGAATCACCACTCCGAGCCCCAAACATATTTCCTCTTTCTGGTGATAGCTTACAACTCTGACAGTCAGCCGTGATCGTAAATGTTCGTCAGAGATCACAACAAAATCCGGCAGACTGAAAAGTACATTTCAGCCGTTAGTGAACACCCAAGGAAGCGTTAAAAGCGGCGCTAAAGCAAGATTCAGGAACTTAGAGAAGCTGAATACATGTATATTAATGAGCAAAATGGCTCATTTTCTGCTCATTATGTGATACGAAATACAGCGAGCGCAAATTCCAAGTAAATCCTTTTCCGCTATTCTTGATATTTAAGCTTAGTATCTGTATTTCCTTTATAAAGAAACTTTTGAAAGTTACAAGTTCATAAAAAGTTGGACCAGAAACTAGAAATTTAAAATAGAAATTGAACAGTTTTGAATTGTCATATACGGTAGAATGGTTACAAAATCATTCACATTTTAACACAAATTTTCAATAGTTTTTAGAAGTCGTGTCCTTCTCGTGAGCGTCTCGATTAAATAAGTGTACTTCCATCTTGATTTTGCAGCCTACAAGTGTTGAATTTTCCAACTGAGACCCATTTAGAATGAAAATTAAAGTTAGGTGTTCGTTTTTTTCTGGCGCCATTTCCTTTAAAATGTTGATTACCGGCTTTCAAATTTTGCGCTCCATCGCGTTGCTGTTATGCTAATGCACTGCTAATGCGTTATGAATATTAAACATGTCCGGCCATTCTGCACCATGCCTGTGTTTGTTCAGATCCAAAGGCAAATAAATATACAGCGATACGTACTGTAAAATATCATTCATAAAGAGTGTCCTAATTTGCAAGAGCTTTTAATTAGTAATGCCGTGATTTTTAGCAGGTTTATTCTAACTCATTCTCAATCATATTCCATATGCGTTATTGACCACTTTAAGGTCAAGATGGCTGGATATTGGCCGATTTTCCTTTCTTTTTTTTTTTTTTTTTTTTGTGCGTTTTATGGACCGCAGCCAATGAACGAGACTTATATCCACTCATCTTGACCTTTAACTTGACCTTTCAGCTGAACAATATAACGTATATGGAATGTGGAGGCCACCGAGTAAGAATAAACATGCTAAGGGTCACGCCAATACTGATTAAAAAACAAATTCCAAATGAGGGCGCTTTGACTGTTTGGCCAATAAAGGATTTATTTATTGTATAGCAAAAAGATCTCGCCGACTTCAATGAGAATCAAGAATAAATCGTTTTTTTTTTGAGCGCTGGATATTACTTGACAAATTGGAAAAAAACAGCTGATTTAATAGGTTTACACTGTTGATGGGTAAACGTCAAAAACGTTGATTAAAATTAATTAGAAAGCTGCACAAGCTTCCAATTTTTTTACTTGGGCGGGATTAAAGTGAGAAATCACAAGCGGGTAAAATGGACCTGTTATGTCCACTCGGCCAGCCAGGAATCGCTTCGTCTTGCCCACGGGCGCTGTCAGCTACGTAACACGTAGAATTATCACATGACGGCCTCACGCGCGCAATCCCAAAGAAAACCATAATGAAAGCCGGTCCGGAAAAACCGTCCGGCCCGCTACTCACACGGCTATTTTGTATTTTCCAACAACGCGGTTTAAAATTGTGAACTTCAACTTGAAGTAAAACAAATGAGGAAATGAGTTGCGCTTCTCAGTGAATTATGAGTTTCTTGCTCTGACTCATCGGAAAAAAGTATTTACAGTAAAATCTTGATATCAGTCGTCCAGTTCGCCCTTCTTTTGAACACAAGTACGTCCTTTTTAAGTTGAAACGAAAGTTTTGAAATTTTCAACACTTGGTGGTCATATGATAAAATGCTTACTGTTTAAGTTTGATCAAGCTGAAAGGGTAAATATTTGGCTCTCGGTCAGTTTCGCCCAATGAATCGATGAGTACATAGTATAACCCATAGCCACTCTGTCATAATAAAGTACCATCCCTTAATTAACTAATGGTGACTGTTCCAGAGTCAACCATTTTATTTTTATGAGACTGACCTGCAATCATCCACTCTTTTTCCATCTCTTTCACGGTTCCTAGAGTCATTCTGATCTTTTCCAATTCTTTCCCTATGCTACGATATTTACGTCCTGGAAAAAATTGAGGATGTAATATTTCTGAGTCTCAAATTCATATCAAACAGAATGGTCTCCAATTCGTGAAACAGTCGTAGTCCACCCTATATTAAAGATCTATTGTCATCAGCTGCTAATTATGCTCTTCTATTCGTCTTTTGTTCGTTCCAAGAGTCAACTTCTTTACGCTTGGGGATCGTGCCTCACTCATACTGCTCCTGTCTTTTGGAACTCACTACCATTATCGATTAGAACCTGTACAAGCCTCGCAGTTTTTATGAACTAACTTTTACCCACAGCCACACATGACCACCAGGCGAAATCCAACAGAAAGAAGAGGCGCTAAATTTCCATTGCACAAGAATATTAAACCAGTATTAAACCCTCATCTAGATAGCCCTTTGTTCGTGTGTATTTTTTTCAAATGAAAATTTGTATTGTCCGTGATAGTAACAGCTTTAAAAGTCAATCATCTTATCAACTAATTAAAAGTATGATTAATTCGTTGAAAATAATCAATTGATCATATAACCTTCGGACGGGTATGCATCTCTGTGTGCTTCCTGAATGCTGTCCCAATTCTCACTGAAATCCTTGATTAACCCTTCAACCTGGTCGAGCTTTTCAAGTCTGTCTCCTGAGGATTTATGAACAGAATAAGAAGATGATAAGTTTTGAACTCGGCAAAGAAATCGATAAAGAAATATAAGAAATCTAAGTTTCCAACCACTTCATGGCCAAACTCAACGCAGAGTCTCAGTGGTGGATCTGAGCCCCGGAATTCAAATATCTGAGACTCGATTCCTCATGCGCCACATGCGTCTTTTGTCCTTCGTGTTCGAGTGAGTGTTGGAGGATGTACTTTCATACCTGAGCTACATTTTCTCGAGACAGTCTTTACACCCAACTATCATCAAAGTAAAAAGGCCAGTTCTGTAACGATTCTGGCGTTTTCCCAAGTAACCGACAAGACTATTAACACGAAAGTAAGGTTTCTGACATCAACATTTATGGTTACATTACAATTGACTCGCGTAGCCGAGAGGGAAAGACATTCAATGATAAGAACTCAGCGAGAATCAAGCTATATTTCTCGGCAACTCATACCTATTCTATTAAGAATTATCATTCAGTGGAGACTAACAATCACTTTCACCTTTGTCAAATCCATATTCAGAAGTGGCACTACTCAAAGTCCCAACTCCGCTATCACTCGGTAGTGTGATTTCGCTGAAGGTCTCTTGAAGATTTTCCAAATATTCTTCTACACGCAGTTTTCTGTCAAATGGTAAAAACTCCCTCTCTGGAAAAGGATCTCTTGTATTGGCTGTGGTCATGTTTCGTTCTTTCAGAAGGTCTGAATCAGAACTTGCCCGTTCTTTTAATCCTCTTTCCTCTTCAAGTTTCATCTCTAAAATTTATAGTCAAAAAAAGCAATATAATGTTGAATGAAGCGGTGGGTTCCACATTATTTGCAAAAGGAATTGAGACATTGAGCACTTCCTCATTGGATGATCATCAAGCTCTCGGAAATAAATCATATATATCCGAGTGACAAATAACCCTAAAGGTAAGTGAAACTTTAGAACGAATGTCACCAATGGTCAAACATTTGGTGGCAACAGCTGAAAAATTAATTTCGCCCATATTTCAAAGTTTTAAGTCTCAATGGGAAATAAGTCACAGCATACTTCTTTTGGTTGAATATCGTTTATTTTCGAGAAAATTGATAATAACTGAATTCCACCAAAATGCCGCTTTTGAAGCTCAAAATTTCAGGCGAATCTCGGAGCGTTGCGTCACAAATTGAAAAACTATCTGGACCGATAAAAAGTACCAAATCTTAAAAAACAGCATCAAAATATATTTTGTCGGCAATTTGAGCAATCCTTGACGATTTATTTACACAAGGGAATTGAATTTATCCAACCAACTTCTGACTACATAAAAAATAGGTTAAAAGTAACCCGTTATGTACCTATGTGCCACACAAAATAATTAGCTGAAAATCTGGCTTTTGGAAGGCAAAGTGTAGTTCTTCTCGATCTTTAAAGGATTTTTTTGGGAAATGATTCAGCGCGATTTACTCAAATTTTTAAGTTGGATAAAATGAGGTCTACTGAAACCGACAACTCTTCAAAAAATAGTACATTGGACTGTAAAACATGTGGCTTCGGGAACTTAGGTCAAGTTTTAAATATGCGAAACAGGAGCAAACAATCATCTAACCCCGATCATAATTAAATGTCTCATGATTAAATGAATCTTGGTATTTTTTTAATTTGTTTAAGGTGGATAGGGCATCCATTACTGCAGATGTGTAATAGAGCAAAGTGTATAAAAAAGCTGTATAAAGGTCAAAACCACAACTTTCACTGAAATTTTTTAACTAGCCGATGTCCCACAGATTTATATTTATACCTCCTCTTCCCGCGACGCTCCGAGATTCGCCTGAAATTTTGAGCTTCATAGGCGGGATTTTTGCGGAACTCAGTTATTATCGATTTTCCCGAAAACAAAGAGATATTCAGCCAAAGGAAGTTTGTTTCTCTCTAAGGCCTACCTAACTTGAGCATATGAGCCGAATTGATTTTTTGGCTGTTGCCTTTATATTTTGAAAAAGTTCGATTTTGGCCACATTTGATCTTAAGTTGTCTGAAAATTGCATTTTTGAGCACAACTCAAAGTTACTTTTCGAATGAGTTTTAGAAACAGAAATATCGACTCGTTTGAAGTCAACGATTTTTATATCACAGTGCTCTTTTCGCGGAGGAATTTCGGATATCATTCGGATAATCAATTGGAGAACCTGTTGTCTCGTGAAGAGAAAGAACAACCTGATGGACATTTTGATCGATTATGAGTAACTACTCTTTCCCAGCTCAATCTGTCGTTCGACCAAACAAACACAAAAAGTGATGTTGCGATTCACAGGTATTTTTTAAACCCACGCGAAAGATCAGGCTGGAAAAAAGGAGATATACCAAGTCTACAGTTTCAATTTCTGCTTTATGGATCTTTTTGCAAACCTAAATATCTGAACTTATAACAATTTATGTTAG